GCACTGGGAATGGGACTGGGAGCACTGGGAGCACTGGGAATGGGCCCAGGCTCCCGCTGGGATTTTCCAGTGGCAGAGCTCAGACCTGCCCTGGCTGGAGAACGAGAAATTCCCACGGGATTTTCAGGGATTTTCCAGAATTCCAGACCCACCTTGCCAAGGGCAGGGACATTCCCAGGGCAGTTTCCCATGGAATTTCCTGGAATTTTCAGGATTTTCCGGGATTTCCCAGACCCACCTTGCCCGAAGGCAGGGACATTCCCAGGGCAGGATTTTCAGGAATTTTCCGGGATTTTCCGGGATTTCCCAGACCCACCTTGCCCGAAGGCAGGGACGTTCCCAGGGCAGTTTCCCATGGGATTTTCAGGAATTTTCAGGATTTTCCGGGATTTCCCAGACCCACCTTGCCCGAAGGCAGGGACGTTCCCAGGGCAGGATTTTCAGGAATTTTCAGGGATTTTCCGGGATTTTCAGGAATCCAGACCCACCTTGCCCGAAGGCCCCGATGCTGCCCCTCAGCGCCTCGAGGTCGCAGCCGAAGCGCCCGGCCCGGCCCAGCTCCTCATCGAACTTCCTCTCACTGACAAAGTGCTGGGAAACACGGGAACAACAATGGGAAAACAATGGGAAAATATGGGAAAAATAATGGGAAAATATGGGAAAAACATGGGGAAAATATGGGGAAATTATGGGAAAAATAATGGGAAAACATGGGGAAATTATGGGAAAATAATGGGAAAAATAATGGGAAAATATGGGGAAATTATGGGAAAATAATGGGAAAATAATGGGAAAAATAATGGGAAAATATGGGAAAATAATGGGGAAAACGGGGGGAAAAATGGAAATGGGGCAGGGAAAAACGGGAACAAATGGGAAATTCCAAGGGAATGGGGCAGGAATTCCAGGAATTCCCACTGGAAAGGTGATGGAATTTCCAGTATTCATTCCCAGTGTTCCCAGTCTCATTCCCAGTGTTCCCAGTGTTCCCAGTCTCATTCCCAGTATTCATTCCCAGTGTTCCCAGTCTCACTCCCAGTGTTCCCAGTCTCACTCCCATCGTTCCCAGTGTTCCCAGTCTCACTCCCATCATTCCCAGTGTTCCCAGTCTCACTCCCAGTGTTCCCAGTCTCACTCCCATCATTCCCAGTGTTCCCAGTCTCACTCCCAGTGTTCCCAGTCTCACTCCCAGTGTTCCCAGTGCTCATTCCCAGTGTTCCCAGTCTCATTCCCAGTATTCATTCCCAGTGTTCCCAGTCTCACTCCCATCGTTCCCAGTATTCATTCCCAGTGTTCCCAGTCTCACTCCCAGTGTTCCCAGTGTTCCCAGTGCTCCCAGTCTCACTTTGATGTCAGCTCTCAGCTCCTGCAGTTGTTGCTCTGACATGGCCGGAGCCGCCTCGGTCAGAGCGCGCAGAGACTCGGCCCGGCGCTGCCGGAGAGAGAGCAGCTCCACTAAAATAAAATATAAAATAAAATAAAATAAAATAAATAAAAATATAAAATAAACACCAGAGACTCGGCCCGGCGCTGCCGGAGAGAGAGCAGCTCCACTGAAATAAAATATAAAATAAAATAAATATAAATATAAAATAAATAAAAATATAAAATCAACACCAGAGACTCGGCCCGGCGCTGCCGCAGAGACAGCAGCTCCACTAAAATAAAATATAAAATAAAATAAAATAAAATAAAATAAATAAAAATATAAAATAAACACCAGAGACTCGGCCCGGCGCTGCCGCAGAGACAGCAGCTCCACTAAAATAAAATATAAATATAAATATAAATATATAAATATAAAATCAACACCAGAGACTCGGCCCGGCGCTGCCGGAGAGACAGGAGTTCCACTGGAATAAATAAATATAAATAAAATATAAAATATATAAAATATAAAATCAACACCAGAGACTCGGCCCGGCGCTGCCGCAGGGACAGGAGTTCCACTGAAATATAAAATAAAATAAAATAAAATAAATATAAATATAAAATCAACACCAGAGACTCGGCCCGGCGCTGCCGGAGAGACAGCAGCTCCACTAAAATAAAATATAAAATAAAATAAAATAAAATAAATAAAAATATAAAATAAACACCAGAGACTCGGCCCGGCGCTGCCGCAGAGACAGGAGTTCCACTGGAATAAATAAATATAAAATATAAATATATAAATATAAAATAAACACCAGAGACTCGGCCCGGCGCTGCCGGAGAGACAGCAGCTCCACTGGAATAAATAAATATAAATATATAAAATATAAAATATAAAATAAAATAAAATAAACACCAGAGACTCGGCCCGGCGCTGCCACAGGGACAGCAGCTCCACTGGAATATAAAATAATATAAAATAAAATAAATAAAATAAATAAAAATATAAAATAAACACCAGAGACTCGGCCCGGCGCTGCCACAGGGACAGCAGCTCCACTGAAATATATAAATATAAAATAAATATAAAATAAAATAAAAAATAAATATAAAATAAAATATAAAATAAAATATAAAATAGAATATAAATATATAAAATAAACACGGGGAACTCCAGCCCAGCGCTGCCAGAGGGACANAGCTCCACTGGAAATATATAAAATAAAATATAAATATAAAATATAAATATAAATATGAAATATAAAATATAAAATATAAAATATAACATAAACACCAGGAATTCCAGCCCAGCATCAGCTCCACTGAGAATAAATAAAGTATAAAATATAAAATGTGAAATATGAAATATAAAATATGAAATATGAAATATGAAATATAAAATATAAAATAAACACCGGGAATTCCAGCCCAGAGCTGCCAGAGGAACAGCAGCTCCACTGAGATTAAAATAAAATAAAATAAATAAAATAAATAAAATAAAATAAAATAAAATAAAATAAAATAAAATAAAATAAAATAAAACCTGGGAATTCCAGCCTGGCACTGACAGAGAGACAGCAACTCCACTGGGAATAAAATATAAAATATAATAAAATATAAAATAAAATAAAATAAAATAAAATAAAATACAATAAAATAAAATAAAATGAGCACCAGGAGTTCCAGCCCAGCACTGCTGGAGGGAGAGCAGCTCCACTGGGAATAAAATAAAATAAAAAATAAAATATAAAATATAAAATGAAATACAAAATGAAATAAACACTGGGAATTCCAGCTACAGGGACAGGAGTTCCATTAAAATAAAATAAAAAATAAAAATAAAAATAAATAAAATAGAATAAAATAAAATAAAATAAAATAAAATAAAATAAAATAAAATAAACACCAGGAATTCCAGCCTGGTGCTGACAGGAGCTCCACGGGGAATAAAATAAAATAAAATAAAAATAAATAAAAGTAAAATTTAAATAAAATTTAAATAAAATTAAAATAAAATTAAAACCAGGAATTGGGGAATAAAATCTGGGAATTAAAGAATAAAAATAGGGAATTGAGGAATAAAAATGTGGAATTGGGGAATAAAAATGGGGAATTAAGGAATAAAAATGGGGAATTGGGGAATAAAATCCCAGGATTTTGGGGAAAAAGCTCCAGGAATTGGGGGAAAAAAAATCAAAATTTGGGAAATTCCACCTGGAAAAAATCTGGAAAATTGGGAATTCTGGAGAGGAATTCCCTGCCCAGCCCCTGAATTGGGGAATGGGGGGAAAGGAAATTTTGGGGAATTTTGGGGATTTTGGGAATTTTTGGGAATTTTTTCCTCACTTGCTTCCGCCTTGACTTTGTCCATCTCGGCCAGGAGAGCGACCTCACGATCCATGAGACTGGAATGGGGAGAAAAACGGGAAAAATGGGAAAAATGGGAGAGAAAATGGGGAAAAATGGGGGAAAATGGGAAAAGGGGAGAGAAAATGGGAAAAATGGGAAAAAAATTGGGAAAAATGGGGAAAAGGGGAGGAAAAAAATGGGAAAAGTGGGAAAAGGGGAGAGAAAATGGGGAAATAATGGGAAAAATGGGAAAAAAAATTGGGAAAAATAGGGAAAAATGGGAGGAAAAATGGGAAAAATGGGAAAAAGGGGAGAGAAAATGGGAAAAATGGGGAAAATTGGGGAAAAAATGGGGGAAAATGGGAGAGAAAATGGGAAAAATGGGAAAAAATGGGGAAAAAAAATGGGAAAAATGGGGATAGAAAATGGGAAAAATGGGAGAGAAAATAGGAAAAATGGGGAAAAGGGGAGAGAAAATGGGAAAAATGGGGAAAAAATGGGAAAAAATGGGAAAAATGGGAAAAATGGGAGAGAAAAATGGGAAAAATGGGAGAGAAAATGGGAAAAATGGGAGAGAAAATGGGAAAAATGAAAAAAAGAGGGGAAAAAGGGCAGGAAAAAGGGAAAAATGGGGAAAATGGGAGAGAAAAAGGGAAAAAATGGGAAAAATGGGAGGGAAAATGGGAAAAATGGGGAAAAAGGGCAGGAAAAAATGGGGAAAAGGGGAAAAAGAGGAAAAGGGGGAGAAAAAATAGGAAAAATGGGAAATAGGAGAGGAAAAAATGGGGAAAAATAGGAAAAATGGGAAAAAATGGGGAAAAATGGAAAAAAAGGGAAAAATGGGAGAGGAAATGGGAAAAATGGGGGAAAAGGGGAAAAATAAAAAGGGAAAAATGGGGGAAAAAGGGAAAAATAAAAAGGAAAAATTGGGGAAGAAAAGGGAAAAATAAAAAGGGAAAATCGGGGAAACAAAAGGGAAAAATGGGGGGAAAAAACAGGGAAAAATGGGGAAAAAAGGGGAAAATCAAAAGGGAAAATGGGGGAAAAGGGAAAAATGAAAAGGGGAAATTGGGGGAAAAGGGAAAATGAGAAGGGGAAATTGGGGAAAGGATTTAGAGAAGCTCCGGGCGGGAATTCCAGGGCGGAGTCGCCGCCAGGGGGCGCCCGGAACCGCGGGAAAATCGGGAATGGGGGAGGGGAAAATCCCAGAGAAATCCCAGAGAAATCCCAGAAA